AGGGCCAGTTATTACTTCATCTCAAAGCCAGTATCTAATAGCAATTGGTCCACACCATCCAAAACTTATTAAATTCCCAATTAATTATAATATTAATAAAGTAAAACAAGAAAGTTTTAATTCATTTTGGTATAATGAATAACCAAAATTAGAGTATAGTTTAGCAACAGACGCTGCGTATTGTTTTGTTTGTTCTTTATTTCCTAAAGCAGCAGGAAAAATGTTTTCAAATACTACTTGGGTGGACGAAAGTGTTAGAACATGGCACAAAATGAAGGGCAGAAGAAAATCCAAGCTAGGTAAATTAGAACAACATTTCACTTCATTTTCTCATAAAGCTTCCTTAGGTGATTATTGCAGTTTTATGAAGAACACAAATCACATAGATGTAATTATGAATAGAGCAAAAATAATTGAATTAATTACATTGGAACATGAAAAAGAGTGTAACAGGCAAGTTATTGTGATTTTGTTTGACATTGTTTGAACGTTAGCCAGACAAGGGTTAGCTTTTCGTGGTGATGGAGATGAATCTGAAGGTAATTTTAATCAGATTGTTAAATTGATTTCAAGACAATCCTTTAATTAATAGGTGGATAAAGGATATTTCAATGCGTTCATATAAAGTGTCATATCTTGGATCTCGATCTCAAAATGAAATGATTGAAATTCCATGTAATGAAGTTAAAAAAATTATTATAAAAGAAGTTCAAGATGCTAATTTATTTTCAGTGATGGCTGATACAACTCCTGATATTTTCCATAAAGATAGGTTAGCAGTTTGTGTACTTTATATTAACAATGAAGGGAAAGCAATGGAAAGGCTGTTAGAAATAAATGAAGGAATTGATAAAACTGGACTGGGCACAGCAAAGTAAATTGTTAGTATATTAAAGAAGAACACTCTAAGTACTGATAATTTATCATTTCAATCATATGATTTTGCAAGTAATATGTCAGGGTCATCAAATGGAGCACAAGTTAATCTTTCCAAATTAGTAGACCATGAAGTTTATTATATTACTTGCCAAGCTCATAGAATGAATACATTCCATGGCAAAAAAATGCTCTCATTTGATTTTATAGTATCTTTAATATTTATGAAAAATATAATGTATAAACTTAAAATGCTTACTGAAACTTGGGAAAAAAAAATTTCTGTGTTATTGAAGCATATTCCAATTGTTGTCTCATCCTCTTAAAAAGGAAAATATTTCCCTTGATGTTATTAAAAGTGCTCTGGAATTATTTCCTCCCAATACTGAAGAAGCAAAATTCAAAGACAGGTTCTGTTCAAGCAGAAATGGAAATATTAATCGTGATGTGCCATGGATAGTGATTCAAATACATTTGACATTCTTATGAATAAATCTGAAGAAATGAAACACATTTTACCATGGGCTAATAAAATCTGTAAATTGGCCTTGACTGCACCAGTAAGTGTCGCAACGAATGAAAGATCATTTAACAAACTCCGACTAATAAAAAATAATTTAAGATCATCTATAGGTGATGATAGATTGGATTCACTTATGATTTTTAGGGTGGAAAAAGACGTGGTTGATCAATTAGATATGAACAAAATAGCAACATTATGGGCAACTTTGAAAAACCGTAGAATTAATATCTAATTGTATGTATCAATAGATGAAGCACCTATTATATATTTTTATACAAATAATAATATTATAATTTGTATTAATAAAAATATTTTGTTTAAAACTGATATTATAATTATTACATTTTCTTAATTAAGATTTAAAATACACATTTTTATTAATTTGGGTAAATGGAATGTGAAAGTTGTAAAATTATGATAAATTGTTAGGTACCTAATATTTTTATTTTCACACGAGCAACTTAAAAGTAAAAAAAAATTGTCTTCGTTTATTGGTCTTAACCATTGGCAACTATTTGTGAGGGGAATTACGTTGGGTTGATGGACCCATTACATGTGTGTTTGTGTGTCGAGATTTGTCGAAGAAATCTTGATGGTCATAAATAAGTGTTATAAATTAAATAATAATATAAATATAATAGAGTAGAAAACGTATTCGAGCGAAGCGAGATAAACATTTTTCAGTCTGCAAATTAATAGATCTACCATCCCCCCATGAATTGTTGTTCAGGACGGCCCTTTGTTTGTCAAGTGTCCATAGAAGAGGTTTGAAAAAGTACGGCAATCTGAGAGACTTCAGATACGTATTTATGGAGCCAATGGGGGGGTCCGGACCCTAATGGACCCCCCCCCCCTTCCCGTAAATACGCCACTGCCCGCCAATATACATATAATACTCAAGTTAAGCAAAGGAACATCATTTACAGATTGTCGAAATATGCGTATTAGAATACCAAATATTACTCACCTCGGGGGAGGCTAGGCCAACAACCAAATAGTTAAAAGTAGTTCTGAGAGACAAGGGAAATTGCGTTGCGAAATATATACGGATAGAAAATGCTAAATCATAGTCAATTATAGAAACGCTCGTATTACAATTAGTCAAATATTGATTATGTTAAAAAGACAAAAATATAATAGCTGGCCAACGAAACTCCGTACTTAGCCTCAAACACGGTCTCCAGGAGGGTGGGGAATACGTTATCAATTGTTAACGAAATTTCAATACTGCCATAATATTGCTGAATAGTGAACGGTAAACAAGCCGATCCCGTGCAGCTTGCTCCTCCTACGAGACAAAAAACGTTAACATAATGCAGGTGACCTTAGGTCTAACCTTATGTTGGTGCGGTAAACGTTTCTATGTTTTTCGGAGGTTCTGACTTCGGATCACAGGTATATAAAACCCCAATCAGCTGATCGAGTTTCACTTTTATATTTTTCTATGATAATAGCCTCGTTATTTAAATATTATAACAGCAGAAACTACGCGCTTCTCTATGTCGATAGCGAAACAACACGAGATATCGCAATTTGACCATGAGAACGTGGGTCGATGGAATTTCCTGGACCTTGTATACGCTATACGCACATGCGATAAAAAACGGAGTCAACGCTATCTTGTCGATAGGAGAGGAGTAGTGGTGATTAGGACTATACAGGGTGATAAAACCAGTAAGCTCACCCCCCCTTTTCCTTTAATAATGAAGTTTTTCAAAATCTGATTTTTGGAATCTTTAAATGGCTGCATCCGAGTTGGGTCCCAAATTTGAAATTTCTACACTAGTTGGGTCCCAGATTTTTATAGGTACTACACTAGTTCGGTCCCGGATTTTTTTAGTTACTACACTAGTTGGGTCCTGAATTATTTTAGCTACAACACTAATTTCTTGAATATTTTTTGGTAAGTACTACACTATACCAACATTTTCCTTCCCATTTGAACAGACTTAGGACTGTCTATGATCTATTTAGGCAACAGGTATGGTTGAAAATGTTTTTTACAGTTATTTTTTATTTTTGTTGTTTCTTTCCATTAAAATATAAGTTAATAGAATAAATATAGCCATATAGGTGTAAGTGAAAAAATATTATATACATATAATACATATATATATATATAACTAACTCTCAAATACTATTATAAATACAATTCTTCATATATTGATTATACCTATTATTTTTAATATTCAAGAACTAGTGTTGTAACTAAAATAATTAAGGACCCAACTAGTGTAGTACCTATAAAAATCCGGGACCGAACTAAGTTAGTACCTATAAAAATCTGGGACCCAACTAGTATAGTACCTGTGATTAGCCCCTAGTACTCGGGACCCAACTCGGATGCGCCGCTTTAAATATATTGGAAGACCATATTTTTATATTCTTGAGAATTTTTGCACCACTTAAGGTTAGGTTAGGTTTAGAACCCCATTTCTTACTGTAAATTATTTAGACGATAATTTTTTTGAGAATTTTGATGTATTGAAATCAAAACTCGAACTAGTAGTTGTCTAGTTATTACACATTTTGTGCTAAGGATAATATAGATTATAATAGGGAAGAAGGATATGCTTGTACAATATCTATAGTCTATTCACATTATATAAAATAACATGTCATTTTATATCTATTCAGTCGAACACTTAGGTAAATAGCAATAAAATCCTTCATTATTTATTTAGTTATTTTTCTTATTCCATGTGTAGAACTGTATAAACATATTCCTATTATGGGCTATTATAGTATTATCCAATAACTAGGAAACCACTAGTTCGAATTTTGATTTCGATACATCAAAATTCTCAAAAAAATTATCCACTAAATAATATAAAGAAAAAAAGTGGGGTTCTCATTTGAAAAAAAAAAATCTCAAGAATATGAAAATATGGTCTTTGAGTATATTTAAAGATTAAAAAATCATATTTTGAAAAACTTCATTTTTATGGAAAAAAAGACGGGTGAGCATACTTGTTGGATTACCTGTATTAGGTGAGACGCGAGCACCCGATATTCAGACGTGGTCTGTCAGAGTGAGTACAAGCACTATATGAAAATATTCAATTACACAAGAAATATTTAAACAAATTTACGTTTGCAATAAAATTAATGTTAATAGTTTTCAATTTGACTTGAATTATTTACACCTTGCCTTCCGTCACCTTGTACATTCAACAACTGTATTCTGGATCACTACAAATTAATAGGGGTGTTTTCATTTGAAAAACAGAATCTTTTATCTCCACAAGATACTCCATAAGAAGTACAATAAATCTCAAGATTAGAGTAAATTTAAAAATTTAAAAATCAGATTTGAACAACTACATTATCGAAGAAAAAAGAGGGTGAGCATGCTTAGGGGATCACACTGTATTAAAGGCAATTGGTTAAATGTAATAACAGTCATTTTCATAATTAATTTGTTTTATTTTATTAATAAAAATACCATCAGACTACAATTCTGGCTATTTGAACTATTGGAGATGTTGGGTTACCTCATGGCAATGATAAATAATTTTTGGGTTGGTCGATGACTTGCAGCAATCATGATTACATAATTGTCAGCGGATCGTTCACTTTGCATAGGTATAAACCATCACTATCACCCGGACGAACAACTAGCATCGAGTTTTCGCTTGACATCACTGATCGCTGATTCACGGTCTTGGCACGCCTGCCTCAGCACCACCACCTCATTCTCGATCGACGCAAGTGTATGCCATTTGACTGTCATATCATCCTCATGCATAACGGCATCGGCATCGCACTTTGTCCGCTGTACCACCAGCGCAAGTCGGTCACAGCCAAGTCTCTGTTCCAGCCGTTCAACATCAGCCACTAGACCGGCCTTCCGGTCGACCACAGTTTTAGCATCAGCCGCCAGCCGAAGGTTTTTGGATATTGTTTCTTCGAGATGGCTTGATGTATCCAATTGCTGCTTGATCAATAGGTCACGATCGATAATGGTTTCTCCTAGCATGGACCGTGCATAACAAATGTCTGCTTCACTGGATGCTTTCATTTCATTGAGAATGTTGATAGATTGTTCAGCCTCATTCTTCCAGTTAGCCGCTTTGGTACTCACTGTGGCCAGATCCTGGCAGACAACATCTGCACACTGTTCTGCTCGGGCCAGTCGCTCAGGAGCCTCTTTTCTCAACGCAACCAGTTCTGCTTCCCTGTTCTGACAGTCAGCCGCTAATGCCTTGACAATTCGATTGCAGGTAGAATTCTGCTGTTGCGTCTCAATTAGCCTTTTGTTCTCAAAATGCAAAGCTGCCTCTTTATCGGTCAAGATGCAACGCAATTTATTCGCTTCTGCTGTCTTACAAACTATCATGTCCTCCAAGTCACATAATTGCCGTTTCAGTAACTTAGCAGTTTCCTGAGTTACAGACACCACATTGTAGTTTTTATTGCACAAAGTATATATTATGTTTATTTAAGAACGGTTAGGTAGGATTTTTTAACCACTTCGTTAGGTTATTTGTTTTTTTTAATTACACCAAAAAATACATGATTTTTTTTTCTCTAATGTCTTATGCATTACTAATATTTTAATTTACTGTGGAGCTATGTAATTTATAGTATTTTGTTTGTCAATATTGTGTAATAAAATTAAATTCTATTAACTCTATGAACCTTTTATAGTTTTCCAAGTTCATATTTTATACCACACACAAGCTTAATAATCCAGCTTCGTCCGTGTGTTAAATAATATTATTTAAATATTTTTATTTAATAGGCTGTAAGATTTCAAGTGTGATCTTCTTGTCTATCCTTTGAGCATAAATGGTGAAATGAACAATACTGTGTAGTTTGTATGTATTGTGATTATTGTACTTAAAATAAAAATTGGGCGTAAAACCTAATCAATTTTTCACGAAAACCGTTAAAACAGTAGGTACATTATGAGAGCCCTACACCGGTTACCTATATTATCTGCAGTTTGGAAAACGAATATCGGTGACCGATTAATAAAAGTTTATAAAGAGAAATACCAAAAACTAATTATCTATATTTCTGAAAATCATTCAGTTGGCAGTATATAAAACAACCAGTACAACGAGAAAAAGATTTTTTTGTACCAATTACTTTTAAGAATTTATTTTTATTTAAGCTTTGTTTTGTACAAAAATATACAATTTAATGATAAGTTATATTGTAGTTATGAATTTATCATGTAATTATCTGGAAATACAATGGCAAATTACAAACACGCCTTGTGGATAATTGGTATACTGTTTTCGTAATTGTGGTGAATTTAATGTATAATATTAAAATATTTTGAGTCAAAAATTATATATTTATGTCTGTATTGGTTATAAAATATTAGTGGTATTCTACCTCATTTACCCTTGATGTTTACATGTTTTTAAATATTTCAATGTAATATCAAAAGCGAGTAACTGACATTATGATGAATATTAAATTTTGTTATGACTTATGAATTAATTTAAAGATAAATTAAACTCAAAAATATGAATTTGTATTTGTAAATAGCTACAATTTATGAGTCTCAACTGTTTATAATGACGATGTATTAATATTAAACAATCAATAAAAAGGTAAGGATAGTTTTTGTATTATTATTTTTTGAAAATGTAGTAGAGCCAACAGCTTAAGTAGTGTGGATAAAAGTCTAATAAAATTAGATCCTATTATAATATTTGATTTAAGTTATACTCAATATTCTTGAGCCAAGAAGACAGAAACTATAGAATTAAAACTCAGAAGTCAGAATGATGGATTTTCTTCAGAAAGTTTAACTCATTTAGTCACATCTGTGAAGTATAAATATATGCATAATAATACATAATTTATAATTTATACCTAAAAAACATTACCTTTTCGTTATGAATTGTATCTTGATGTTTATTATTGTCTTCTAACGTTTCTGCACAGAAACATTCCAATTTCTTTATTTTTTCAATCATCTGTATTTCTTTAGTCGTGTTAGATTGTATATTGCACTGCAATTCTTGGTTAGTTCGTTCTAACTCATCTATTGTATTCAATATTTCATTACACTTCAATGATTTCTCTTCAAAGTCACGATTGACATCATTATAAGACTGATCATAACATTTTTTTGTTTCAGCTGTCGTGTGTTGGAGATTTTCCAATTCTATATGCATATCTCTCATCTCAGCTTTTAGTCGGTTATGCTTGGAAACATTCCTTTCCAGCAAACCTTTACGTCCTTCAGTTAGTTTTAAACAAGTTTTCAGTGTAAAATTATCCAAGTTATTATGTGGATTCGAATTGCAGTTAGTATCATGGTTTGAATGATCCATTCTATAACAATTTACAGTATTCATCAAATATTAAATACCAACTACAATGATACATTATGAAACATTAAAAATAGCTTAAAAAAATTAGAATACTTACATTTAGTAGAGTGATTTGTAATGGTGTTTTAATAAATTACAAATATAATATTTGTATATGTAAAAACAGAAATTAATTTTGCAATTTAAAATGTATATTTATTTTTTTATTACGTAGTAACTGTGTAAATTATGTTTCGTTTTAATACAAATTGATGCTTGGCAATTAATATATTTCTAAACAATACATAAATGTATATTTTGGAGTGCACTGACTTGTTACTAAATCGATTTCAACTATTCTGTGGTAAAACTAGCTATAATAGAAAACCAAAAAAAGAAGTGTATTAATTTGATCCTATTTAATAACATAACTGAAATTTATAAGTTCAAATTTAATTAAAGGAAGTATTTTAGAAAAAAATGATATCATTTTATTTAAGATCTACTTTTGAGCAGAAAAAAAACAAAATTCCAATCGGGTTCACTATATTCGGTAAGTCGGTACTAATATCAATGCAAAATAAGATTTAACAAAAACTTACAAGGAAGTTTTGATAATATGTATGTTATTTTCCGGAAAACTACTATCTTTATCATCAGTAAAAAATGTCTGGAAAAATTAATATATACGGTACGATTCATTTATTATATCGAAAAGTATTGACTGTTTTCAATATTTTTTTTCCACTATTGCATTTATTTGGTAAAATTTTAAATTATCACGTTCAAATTTTCATTTTTCATTAACTCGTTTACGAGATATAGTTTTTAAAGTGAGGTGGTCTAGGGAGGTTTTTTGGATTTATGAAGAAAAGGTTGACGCACTATGGGTGCCCTTGTCGATAGCATTTCCTGGACCTTGTACTCACACACAAAATAGTAAATGGGTTCAACACTATCTTGTCAATAGGAGCAGAGTAGTGAAGATTAGGCCTACATAATAGAGACCTGAGCACCCGATATATAGAAGTGAACTATCAGAGTGAGTACGAGAAACTTTATGCTAGCAGACTCTCTGAAAATATTCAAACAGTATTACGTTCGCAATAAAATTCATGTTAATTATTTACACCTTGTCTTCTATCTTAATATTGTACATTCAGCATCTGTAAACGGCATCGCCATTTTTTTTTCTACTTTTTCTATTGTCTTATTATGTTTTATTGTCGATTTTTTGTAATTATATAATACATCTAAAATTTTGGTATACACATGGGCGGCCCTTGGGGGGGGAAGAGGCAGTTGCCCAATCAAACAATTTTTTTAGGGAGCAAATATATACTTTTGCCCCCCCCCCCCTCCAAAAAAAAAAATGTTAACGGAAATGCCTGATATTTCAATCTTTTGTTAATGAATGCAGAAAAGTTGAATTTAAGGTTAGTTATTTTATTTTTTGGTCTGTTTAAGGCGCCTGCACACCAAAATTGAAACGTATACAACGCTCCAGATATGGCGTTGTTCGCTGTATCGCCGCCGTCGCGGCAGGCCGTAACCACGCCCATCATCACCTTGACTAGGCCGGCGTATTCCGAGGATAGTCTTGTTATGCGTTTCGCGTCCATGTAATATGCCGCCTATATAATTCTATGCACGCGGAGCCTTGCTCCTGGCTTTGCGCTCACAACCTACTAATTAACTAAAGCTCCTCTTAACTTTATTATGTGTACCAATATTTAAAGCACAACAATGTTAATAAAGCATAGCTTGATTTACATTAACAGCCTAATTACTTTTTAAAATACAAATACAAATAAAATAGTCAATAGAAATAAATATATTTAAAAAAATTCAACAAAACTCAAACATTACAATTAATCTTTATTGTTCCTACTAATAATTTATTACAACAAATTTGGTTTTAATAATAACTAGCATACTCTGCGGTAGGTATTTGATGTTACATCAATCTTTGGATTGACAATTTCGGGAAGCATATATTCCATATAAAATGAAAAAAGTTGACTTTCCATCTTTTCTTTCCAAAAATTGTCATCACGTACAATTTTTTCGAAGAATAATCCTGCAAATATTATTTAAACATTTTAATAACTGTATGAAATGTATAGAGTAAATTTAAAATTGTGAAAATATTAGTGTATCTAATATTAATAAATATAGGTACCGTTGGGAGTCCACACTATAAAATAAGTCTTTGAGTTATGTGTAATTGCCCTTGAACTTGGTAATAGTACTGAAAAGTACGTTTTAATTCTACTACTCCTTTTTTATTAAAAGTTAAGTATTTAATGGTTTTCATTTTAGCAGCTTCTTGAGGGGTAGCATTTTTAATACTAGGAGGGTATTTTATTTCTATGATACCATCATCTCCTATGATACCATCTGGACTTCCAGCCAAAAAATTAAAACATTGATCGACAAACATTCCACAAGGCGTAATTTTTATTTTTGCTTTAGCTTCAAATGCGTCTTTTGCTACACTTTCATATTGAATACCATACCTGTGAAATGGAGAAAATTTATTTTAATTATTAAATGTTTATAAATTATTACTATATTCATATTTACTTCATCGCGGCCGTTGTACCCACTAAATCTTCACTGTACAATATATATTTTAATGTGTTGGTCCTGGGTGTCTAAGGTCATAGAGCACATATCCTACCAAAATTTGAAACCGTCAACCTAAATGTTCGCTCTTGTTTCCAAATGTCATTTAAGGATTTACCAATAATTCGTCTTTCTAGTGATTTTATTTCAGTCAAATTTAATTGAAGGCTATTTAATAAATTTTGTTTTTTTCTTTCAACGTCTTCATCAGTTAAATTTAGAACGCTACAACCAATATCATCCACATCTTCATAATCCTTATCAGGACCAGCACCTTTTTTTTCTTCTTACTATTGAATTTATTTCTTAAAATAAAAATTTGTTAATAGGCTAAAATTAAATAAATTAGAATATATTACGTTTTACCTAAATTCAAGTTGTCTTCTCGTTTCACAGATTTTTTTTTTTTAATTTCTATATATTTTTTAGTAAATCTACCTGGACTGAAATTAGAAGCATTTTTGTGTAACCTGTGTAAGTAATCAGGACCATAGTTATAAGATATCACTGCTGCATTACATCGTGTCTTATAAAATCCTAAAAATTATAAACGTATTTGTATATGAATCGATAAAAAAAAAATTAGTAAGAGACAGACATTGTCATCTCTTGCAAATATTTTATGATTATTTAAGTTATTTATAAGATATTTAATATATATAGTAGAGAATAGTTAACTCTTTTGCCTCCAATTGTAATTTGCTATAACACTATTGTAAGCTTCAGTTTCAATTATTATTCACTCTGTACAGCAAACTGTCACTATGGTGGGCAACTAAATTAATTGCACCCGTCAACTCATCCCAAAGACCACTCAGCCTCAATTCAAACACCAAATTTGTTTCGTTTTCTTTAGAGCTTTTACAAAAGTAGCTAATAATTTTAAAAAATGAATCCATTGGCAATGTATTTATAGTTTACTTATTTTGTTTATATTAGATATCTAATTTTACCTAGCGCACTTTTCATGATCACCAAAAACATGTCGAGGATTATTCAAAATATCAGCTTTCAGAAACTGAACTTTTTCAGTATGAGAAAGTAATTTATTTGACTTCCAATATTTCGACGCTTCTGTTATGGCATATCTAGGTGTAAAGTTTTTAATTTATGATAATGTAAGTTATTTTTGATACAATGTCACAATGTATGTGTTAATAGAGCTATAAACTGTAAATTAATCGTAATATATATCATCTTTTAATTTTATTCGATGATACCCAGGAAATATAGAGCCTAAACTATTTTTTCGTTGAGTAGATATATCTCGTAGTCGATTACAGTAATTACGAAGTATGTGATTAGAACATTCAATTATTTTTATACGGTGTTCAATCCCATATGGTTTGGCAATTGATAACTTTTTCATGACACTGCTGTCACCATGGCCAATTAATTTGTCATAAATTAACCCATGCATATACATGATCTGGGAAAAACCATCAACAATGATATCAGCTTCCATTGAAGTTGAAGTTCCTGACCAATTTTTGTAACATTTATGTGGGTTAGGTTCTTTTGATAAGAACTCAGCTTTGTGACAAACGGAACATATTTTATTGCGAACTCCCAAATATAAAACTTTTCCAGTCTGGTAACCTAAATACATGCCTACAAATATACATATATATATTTAAATTATATTATTATTTAAATGATAAAAACTCACAACGCCAGATGAAGCATTATAGTTTGATTTGTAAGAACGTTTTGACTATGCTCCATCAGCAACCAATGTAATTAATGGCACTCCATTCTTATTTACATCACCTCTTTCGATTGCCATATTAGCTTCTTCTTTACCCACCATTTCAAGAGATTGCCACATAGTTGTTTCTATATACCCACTTATTATTTCGTGTTCTTTTTGATAAGTACTATTTGTCATACACGGCATGTTTAAAATGGCTGAAAATTGTTCGAGTTGTGCATAGCCTTGACCAGGATTTACAACGCTTGAAACAATTGCCGTATTTATTTTTAATGCTGATGATTTTTCTTCTGGTTCTGAACTTATTACTTCCATCTTACAACACGTTTTGCATTTGAAAATAAATTTACTAAAATATCCTTTGCGAATTTCTTTTACTAAATCTAAATTAGCAAATATACAATCAAAAGCTTCATGTCGAATACTTTGAATTGATTTAAAAAGATGGCCGATATCTATGAATCTTCTTCCTTAGATCTCAAGAGAGTTTCTAAAGGATATAAATAATATCATCCATCAATTGAATGAACTTATTATGATGTAATTACGAAAGTAAATAATATTCTTGCAAAGTATTTGAAACTTTTCTAAATACTTTAAAATAAATAAAAATTTAGTACTAGTGGTTTCACTATTAAAAAAAAATCGAAAATCGTAGATCACTATTTTTTTTAAGCGTAGAAAGTTCAAATTTTCGAATATCTTTAAAAAAAACTATCGGACTAAAATTGAACATTTTTATGAGCGTTTGAAATTTATACCTTTACAATATCAAGTAAAACAACGATTTAGCCTCAGACGATTTTGATATTTATTTCAAAATATTTCGTTAATTTTTCAGCTATTTATAGGCATTTGAAATATTCGATTTTTTTCATAAATCTCGATTAAAATTTTTTGGCTGAGTCAAAATACTTGACAATTTGAAAGTTCACATTTTTACGAAATATAATAAAATTGAGAAAATTTGAAGTTATTTTGTAGTTGAAAATTCATAATTTTTTTGTATTCATACCTAAGAATTGAAAATTGAATACAAGGTTTTTCATAAGTATTGATCACAATTATTATAAAATAATCAAGCGTAAGTCAATTAAAAAAAAATTATGATCATCTAAATTTTAAATGTTTACGGTAATAAAAATTTAAAAATTCACGAACGATTTTCTATCAAACGGTTTTAGATATAAAATAAATAAATAAAATATCCTAGACTGACGAATCGTCTCCGTTCAGAATCGTTTTTCGTATACAATGATACCCATCATTGCATTCAAATTTAACACATCCATTATAGTGACGTACTATATGACCGAGGTTCAATCCACCCCTACCGTATAGCAGAGCGAGTTCTCGATTTTTTTACTTTTATAAGTAGAGTTCCGAGGGGCAATATCCTTCTTAGCCTCTCTCATTCTAAACATAGTATTCGAATACGTATTACGAATACAAAATAAAAGTATTCTTTACAAAATAGGTAAATAATAATTATCAGTAAAGAGACATTTGAAAATGTCCAAAAATATAAATCATAGTAGGTACATAAAAACCAGCCTACCCACTTTCAGGTTCAACTTTGTTAACTACTGTAGAATGCATAAATGTTTCTTATTCGTTTTCAACGATATCATTCAAACTACAAATAAAAAATTAAATGTTTATTTCTAATATTCATATAATACCTAGTTAACATATATCACGTAATACGTGACACGTATGATCACTATAATCTACGTATATATATATTATAATGAATATAACTTTGGTGAATACTGAATACATAATACACGCGTTGCTAATATTGGTATAATAACGGTTTAATAAACGTTAAAATTTGTTCGTATTTACGTTCATCTACGTGATAGCTTACACGAATAATTGTGTACGAAAAATTAAATTATTTATACAATATTTATAAGTATAATATACGTAAACATGTTTACATTATATGTAGGTAATATAATTATGAATTATGTATTTCACCTAATTGTTATAACATTGTTGAATCTGATGAATCAGTCAAAGTAAAATCTGCAACCAAATTTGTGGGGCTTAAAGCGCTATCGCCAGGTTTGGGGAATCTACAAATACACATTTAACATTCAATGTCGGTTTACAAACACCGTAGTTTTTTTCATACACAGTGTATGAACTGTGTTAGTAAAACAATGGTGGTTCAGTAAAAGTATTTTTGTGAAATGTTTAACCAAATATTTTATTGTGGTGCAGAGTAGGTATTTCTGACATTGAACGGTGCAGAGAAAATGTAAATGCACCGACAGAAATTTAACGGTTCAGGAAAAATGTTTTAACACCGTTGCGAAGTTCAGAGACAGTGATTAAACACCGTGTTTTATAACATTATGCCAACCATTCGTTGCCCGTTTAACCGACACTGAACTGATAAAACATACAATCAGTTTATAAATAGCTGCGCAGTGTATAAATTCCGGTATATTATTTTGCGGAAATTCCCTGCAAGCTATTAAAAAGCATTATATTAATTTTATATCAGTGATTATCTGGTTATCATTGTAGACATTATTTTTTTTATACATTATTACCTATTATTTACTATTTGTCATTTGACAATTTATTTAATTGCAGTCTTGTGTACTATGTAGTAACAGCTAGTGTTCTACAGTCCACAGTTTTTAACTCTTATATTTTATATCGTCAACATATTTAATTAAGATTTACATGAATATATACAGAATAACAGAATATCATCTAGGTATATAATAATCATGGCGTAAGTATACAATAATTTTAATATTCAGTTATAATAAATATTATAATATTTTTAATCACAACTCACAAGTGTATAATATAAACACAGAACAATTCTGTGTAATAATTCTAATAATTTATTCTGTGATATAAATACCTATATTATTATAATATTAACATAACTTTACTAAATAGATTTTGTTGTCGTATTAAAAATATATTATATGAATAATATGACATAATATGTTGTTATTAGTGACCAGCTTTGCATATAATACTTACCCTTAATTAAACCAATTATTAATAATAAATTGTGTTGATAATTATGATTATAAAATAAATTTCATTATCTGTTTTGATAAAAAAAACTTGGTGAATTAATAAAGAGGTGAAAATATAATTTAAGTTGTATCATGGTCAATATATGTATTATATTATATAGTTCAAATAAAATGTAAAGTCTGTGTGTATATAATTTTACTAGGTATTAAAAATAACTCATCTTATCCCTTAAGCTTATGTATGTTATTATATTAAAGAAGTTAAATATCTATATACTTATTTATTTATGGTTTGAGATATTATCTAGATACTATAATATACTGGTATACACAATAACTGAAACAATAATCGATAAATATACATATATAACTTTATTACAATTGTACAATTAATAGTGGTAAAGTAAAATTGTAAATTATACAAAATATATAATACAGCATTACAGCTATACCTATCTACTTAAATGTTATAAGTTATTTATACAATTAATGTATACTAAATGTATTCATTTTTCCTACGTACTACATTTTCTTCTAATTGTGATTTTACTCATATATTTACTTAAGAACATACACAAGTCTTTTACCTATATTCATAGACCACCATTTCTTGAATTTTTAAATCCATTCTGCAAGCAACCATTTAGATATGACCTAATGCCGTATTGGTAATGATGTTATATAATTAAGTTCAAATATCTATATATTTAGGTATATATTTTATTATTATATTTTCTTTAATACTATTGTATTTTTATAATTAATACAAAGTACCAACCTATATTAATATAATATAATAATCTTGCCATATTGTATTTAAATATATTTGTATTATTTTATTGGGGACCAATATTCATGCAGATCAAAATCAACTCTCTACCGTCAACGGAAAAGAGTTGCTATGTCTGTTGCTAGGTAGTCTATTTTCATCAAGTAGTGAAGAAAACGATGAGTGTAATACATTTGTTTGGGCAACAGCACCGTTGCTCCGCTGTACCACGCGTCAAGCATAGAACATACGAGAAGTTGAACCCCGTCCCCCTCCACCACCCGTGATCAACCTGGTGATGCGCCTCCAGCCGCGAGCTACCGCCGTCAACCAGTTCTGCCCGCACGTCCGTGCTGGCCGGGTTTTTAGTTAGTTTTGTTTCCTTTGTCGTTGCGCTTGTGATCAGATCCGTCAGGACACCACATTCGTGTCGCATACACGCCGTTTTGAATACGCGCGTGCTAGTTCGTTGTGTCTTGTTCGTGCTCGGCCGTTTTCGACATCATCGTTTCGCGTCAACGCGCCAGTCGGTTATTGTTGGAGGTAACGTCGACTCCGAATATAGCCTTCACCGTTCGGACCTCTTTGACGTCCATTACGTGGATAATCCGTGACCGCGTTCGTGCGTTATACCGGTCTTGCTTGTCGCATCGTTGAGTACGTCCCCGTTCGTCGATCCATCGTGGTTCGCGATCGGCCGATTTCTTCTTTTGTTTTTTTGGGTTTTCACGTGGTTTTCCACTGCTCAGTGGCGCCGAACTACTTTTTGGTAGGTGGTGCAAACACAAATTTTAACCACCCACCCACCACTCACTAGACACCCACAAAAATAGGAAATTAGGTTCAAAGTCAACATTTTCAATAAAACTTTAATAAAATATTGTTTTATACATTAATCTATACATCTATGATCGATCTATATAATACATGTATATATAAGTATATAATTATTACATTTTAAGTTTCAACCAATAAGTTTTTTGCTTAGTACTGTACTGCATTTTGCAAATATATCAACCACTTCATCATTATCTATGGGCACATCGGACTCACATGATATTATTAATAATGACTCAAGACGATCTTGTTTCATAGTGCTCCTTAACCGATTTTTGATAATTTTTAATTTAGAAAAAGTTCTTTCAGTGGTTACACTACATACTGGCAATGTACAAGCAATACGAAGGGCCATAAATAATGTAGGGAATATACTATGAAGTCCAGCTGAATAGCATATTTGTAGTAATGTTAATAAGCTTCCTGTATTCATAATATCTTTTTGTGTTTGATCATTGTTTAATTCTTCATCTGATGTTGAAATCTCCACGTTACATTCAATGTCAGAAGTGTTGATATTGGAAGTAAAGGGATAAATATTTTTTGGTAGTTTAGTTACTTTTTTCAAAGTCAGAATACAAGTTTGCAAACTGAATATATTCATTACACAACTCATTCCGATCTATAAACTGTTGATACAAATTACAAAATGTACAGAACACATCTGTCGGTAGTATTCCATTTTTAACTTGATTTAAACGATTTTTTGAGAAGAATGATATATCCCTTAAAAGATTTTGTGCAGTTGAGTGAAATCGGTTTTCTATAGCCATTATTGCTGCATCAAGTGCGCCAAAATAAGTATCAATTTTAAATTTCAGCTTAGGATCTACTACCGGTTCATCACTAGAATTTTCATCAAATTGTTTTTTTTTAGTTCTACTTCTATTTATGACCAATTGAGTGAATTCAAATTCATCGGCATGATCACTCATAAAACAATTGGATTCTGTGAATATTTCTTCAAATATGTTTTCACATCTTATTTGTTTTAATGAAGTGTGGACATTTTGTATATTATTTATGGCACTCAGTAAATCGATATCAATAGCCTGAAGCATACGAGTAAGCGGATCAATTAAATTAAATATTTTCTTAAAACATAATGCAGTAAGTATAAATCGATGAGATAATAAAAAATCAATTAAACCTGATGCTTTCGCTCCAACCTTAAAATCTACTCTACTTTCTTCACTTACTATATACTCCAATGTCTCAATTACAGCATTGTATGTAAGTAAAACATTATTTAGAGCTGAGGAATATGACATCCACCTCGTGGTTTCAACTCGCTTTAAACGGCGAATATTCTGATTGGGATAATGTTTTTTTTGTGATTTTTCAAAAAAAGCAATTCTTTTTTTACTAGTTGATATAAAACTGTACAAAGATTCTAAGTTTCCAAATGTGTCAACTGCATTTGAAGAAGTACTCGCCATTTGTATAACTACAAGGTTTAATCTATGGGAATAGCACCAGATGTAAATGGCAGAAGGATTTTGCTGAAGAACCAATGCTTGTAGACCTTCGTACTCACCTCGCATGTTACTGGCACCATCATAACTCTGACCAATTAAATGTTGTTTCCAGTTTAATTCTCTTTCATTACAAATATCTTTAAAGATTTCAAACAATCTTTGACCAGTAGTAAGAGAAGATTCTTTTAATGAAATCAGCCGTTCTTGAATTTCTGGAATTTTATTGGAAAAACTAACATACCGTACAACAAAAGCTAATTGCTCTCTTTTAGACGAGTCGAATGTTGTATCAATAGAGACACTAAAATACTTAGCATCAATAATTTCTTTTTTGATAGATTTGTTGATAATAGTTGAAACAGAATCTATTAATTGATTTTGCCGTTGCCAGGATAAAAAGTTTGTTTCATTTCGACCGGTTGATTGTAATCTTTCTAAATAAATAGCCAAAGATGGTGACCATTTACTTAATAGAATGACTAAATCTTTAAAATTACCACGAATATTTTCATTGAAGCCTTCTCTATGCCCACGGAATGCTAAAGAATGTCTGCCGAGATACAGTGTAACCTCTATAAGTTGATGAACTATTTCTCTGTTAAATTCTACTTGCATTTTTTTTTTTTCAATAAGTGCTGGTAACACAGGCATGGATAACAATTTCATTTTGATAGTAACAGTTGCGTTGATGTGTGGAGTAGTCTTCTCATGTGTACAAATATCTTTAGGTCTTTGCCACGCATGAAAGCCATCGTACGTCCAAGCTTTCTGTGAATTCTTACCAAAAAACATACAGTATATACAAAAAACTCTATCTAATAAAATGGAATAACTCAACCAATCTCTATTGAAACGTTCTCCGTTGGTAAGTTCATTCCAGTAAAATTTCGACAAAAAACGTCGTCCATTTGACTTAGGAAAATTTGTGTCGATTTCTGTAGGTTGACAAGGGCCTCTTTGAATAATATTTATTTTCTCTTCGGGCGATAATTTCAAATTTCGAAGAATCCCCGGATCAATAGATAAATGTTCAGCACTTATTTCAGGGTCAATACAGTTTTGAAGTAAGTTGCTTAGTACTAAAAAATAAAATCCAAAAAATAAAATAAATTCTATATACAGCCAAGATATTATTTAATTATGTAGATAAAATAACATAAATTGAAGTTTAAGTTAATAAACATGCATTATGAATTATGATAAGTATTGTTAATTTCTATATTAGGTATATAGACAATTATTAATAAAAATTAAGTGCTATACAATACCAATAGATGAAGTTTGAGCTGTTGACGCAGGCAAACGTTCCAAATTCTTTGATTTATCTGTAAAGACAGTCTCATTTTGCTCGACATTTGTACCCAAGTCCTCTCCTTAAAATTTAAATTATATAAATTAAATAGGTAAAAACTAAAATGATAAATTCTATGTGTACCTAATTATTTAGGTACAATTCAAAATTGATAGTTTAATTTGGTATTGAGATGTTTTTAATTTCATTAATATTGTCTGATTAAATTCAAAATAATAATCATGCATTTCAAATAAGATACCTAAATTTTTATCTAAATAAACAAAAATGTAATTTACCAATATATGAAGTTTGAGCTGTTGATGCAGGCAAACGTTCAAAATTCTTTGATTTATCCGTAAAGACAGTCTCATTTTGCTCGACATTTGTACCTAAGTCCTCTCCTTAAAATTTAAAAATTTAAATGTATTATATATAAAATAAAATATGTATGTATTATACATATTTAATATATATTAAAACAAATTAGGCGAGAACCAAAATTAAAAAATTGTACCTAATTAGTAATTATGTAGGTACAATTAAAAATAAATAATAATTTAATTTGGTCTTATCATATTCATATAAATTAAATAGGTATGTGTGTATAATGTAAACGATGAGTGTAAGTAACAATAAAAATAACTTAAAATCTTAAACATACCTGAGTGTGAATGGGTATTGATGCTTTCTGTACATTGATTTCCATAAATGCAGCTGTTGTTTGATTTAATGCCATCATTTATGGCATTATGGGACTGAACTACAAAAAATTAAATACCTAATTAAATATTATTGGTAATACATCTAGTAGGAAAGACTGGTACAGTTAATATTTATAAAAGTTATAACAAATAAATAAAAAGTCATCTAATTTAGGTAGGTACATTAGATAATTAATAATGATTAATAATATTAATAATAATAAATATAAAATAATATATATTATTATTATATATTATTTTTTATAGTTATAATATTAATTATGATTTACAAAATTAAACTAGGTAATCATTTAAAAACAAAAATTACTTACCTTTTTTTTTGGTAAACTTTGAATTTCTTCCGATTCATCACTTCCACGTTTTTTTGAATAAAAGTTTGACAAGTCATTTACAATGTTATGTTTTTTTAGTTTTGAAATCCTACAAGAATCTTGGTGTCTTTTCCAATTTGTAAAATTTAATTTCAATCGTTTTTTTCCACAAAGGCATACAGTTGAATTACTTGAATTATTATTTGACATTTCAAAAAACAGAATAAGAAATGCACTCTCTCAGAGCACGATAAGTGAAATATTGTTTTTGTAAATAGCGAGTAACAAATTAACAAGAAACGTACGATATTCGATAATCGACAAATGACATTACGATAGTCGATAATAACAAGAAATCAACAGTAATTCAAATTTTCCATCTATTTTACTATTTATAAACATGTATGGTGAACGGGCGCACCGAATTCATTGGTTATTGGCTTATATTATTATACCAACATAAAATTGTCATCATCCGTTATCGAAAACACGATACATTGGAACAATAGGCAAGCCGTCACTCTCAAGGGCAATAGCACATTTATATAAATAAAATATTAATAGTTTTAATTTGTATTTTGTATACATTAGTACGGACAGTACAGTGATTATCAAACTTTTTTTTTCACGGAGCCCTTGATATGCTTAAGAAAACTCACGGAGTTCCAAAAACTTGAAATACCAATTTTACACTCTAACCATTATGGATCAATAAATTGCTAATATACAAAATGTATACAATAAAAGTGTAACTTGTAACAATTTAAGGAATAATAATATATGTACTTAATTCAGATGTGCCCGCGGAGCCCCTGGATTAGTCTCGCGGAGCCCTAGGGCTCCTCAAAGCACAGATTGAGAACCGCATTAGTATATTACGCTGTTTGTGAAGTTGTTGTAATTACTAATTATTGTATTTTCTATAATCATAGTCTTCTATTTATTTCTATAGTACCTACATAATATTATTTTAATTTATGCTATTTGTTTCTACTTTCTACAATTAATTGGCCATAAATTATCAAATAACAAGTTCAATGTTCATATTAAGCAGGTTGCATGTACCTATTACCTATACCGGCTATACCTACTGGCTACTAAGTGTCAGTTTTTCAAAACTATATGGACCCAGACACCCAGTGGCCAGTACCCACCCCCCAATTGTAGGTGGTGCAAATGCACCACATTAAGTACGTGTTCGGCGCCACTGCCACTGCTGTACGCCGTTCCGCCGCGAGCGTCGTATCGGTCAGGTATGCCAATTTCATCATCGCCGGTGCGTCGATCGGTGCGCCAATCCCGATTGCTGTCCGTTGGCATCACTGCATCCATCATCGGATCCAGGTCGGAGTCATCTGTTGTCAGTCCATACCACTATCACCATCGTCGTGCAGATAAGATTTGTCTTTGTTATTGTTTATATTTATATATTATTCTTTGTAATTCGCCATTCCCGATTAGTAGGTCATTGTAAGATATGATCATATACCCCCTTTATAACACGATTGTGTATAATATGGTACCCGCCGTTTTTCCCGAATCGAAATTCCCGAATGAACTTTTTCCCGAATGTCGTTTTATCCGAAAATCCGAAAACCCGAAACCTTTTTTCCCGAACGACTTTTTCCCGACGGTTATTGTTCCCGAAATAAAAATTTTTAAAAATTTAAAAATGTTGTTATAACTGTGAGCTGTAATGACTAGGTATGTATTTTCTATACATTATAACTAAAATACAGCTGTTGCTATACATTCTAATCTTTTCTAATCTTTTCTAATCTTTTTTTTCTCCGTGCGATAAACGGGCACATGTAGAATCGCATGTTTGCAATTATTGCACTTTACCGTCGCTGATTTATATTTTACACCGATATTATTATTATTATTATCGTTTGTAGATTAGTAGAACTATTCAATCTATGGTATACAAGTAAAACGTAATCGTTGTAATCGTAAAGCCGCGTTATTCGAGTGCTATCGACCGTCGTTATACTTTCCAGTGCATTTTATTGTAAATAATATAAGATTATATACTTTTATTTTAATATAATATTTAATTTTCATTTTAATTTTATTTTAATCTATCACCATGGCTGAAATTAAAATTTTGGGTGAAACAAAATTAATTTGTGGAGGTTTTATTTATGTGCGTTCTAAATTACCAGACAACGGTAAAACATACTGGGAATGTCAAAAGTTACGTAAAAAAGAGTGCAAAGCAAGAGTTATTACTGCGTTCAATATTTTTGAAAATAAAAATTATTTTGTACGAGAATCAACGTTGGACGATCACGACCATGTTCCCAACCAAGAAGAGTGTGAAGCAGAGATCATCAAATATTCTATGAAGCGGAAAGCTGAGGACCAACCACAACTACCACCTGCTCAAATATTACGTACAGAGATGGCTGGCTTATCTGACGGGGTTCTCAGTCAACTACCTAACCGTGATAATTTAAAAAAATCAATGCGTAAAGTCCGGAGGTATTTATTTTTTTCAGATTTCCACGAATCCAATTTAATTTTTATGTATTTTACACATACCTAAGGAAAAATTTGCAGCCCAATCCAAAAACACTTAATGACTTTGGTACACTTCCCGATCGGTATCAAAAGACGCTTACGGGTGAACATTTTTTAATTTAAGATTCACTTGATGATGATTCCGTCAATGAAGGTAGAGTCGTTGTGTTCTCGACTCGGAGAAATTTAGAATTATTGGCCCGGAGTGATTGCTGGTTTTTAGACGGGACTTTTAAGGTTTGATGGATTTTATTATATTTATTAATTTATTACCTAGGTATATGTCTATGATGTGTTAATCAGTGGTGTATTGGTACGGGTACGCCGGTATACGTCGTATACGTCGCGAGCGTCGCGGCGAACAACGGTGTCCGGGTGTCATGACACGGCGTTTAACAAAAATGTCTCTTAAGATTTTTAATATTTGAAAAATTAAACGTTTTATTGAAATTCTGATACTTGCTATTCTTCATTTCTTAATATCTCTTAATTATCTCTTATTAATATCTCTTATTTATTTATCTATTGAAGTAGGCATTGAATGTAATTATATAACAATATGATTTTGTTTCATAATTCTTAGGTGTGTCCCACTATTTTCACACAAGTTTTCACGATTCTGGGAACATGCAAACAACACGATGCTCATGACACAGTTGCTATTCCATTTGTATATGCACTGTTGTCGTCAAAAGAAACGGTTCAGTATGCCACTGTGCTAAGAGCAGTACAATCTTCATTTAACGAACACAGGATTGTTTGTGAACCGGCTAAGATCATGACTGACTTTGAAAAATCTATAATCAACGCTTGTAAAAAAGTTTATCCAAATTGTCCTCTCAGTTGTTGCTTTTTTCATTTCGGTCAATCAATGTATCGACAAATTCAATCTGTTGGTCTTCAAGCCACATACAATGACCCTGATGATCGTTCATTAAAAATGTACAGTCATATGATGCTAGCGTTGGCATTCGTACCTTTGGCTGAAGTACCTCGCATTTTCTCGCTTTTGAAAAATGACGCGCCTGAAGATTTATTACCAATTTTGGAATATTTTGAAAAAAATTATGTTGTAGGAGTAATAGCTAGAGGGCGAAGACGAGGAATTCTTCCACGTTATCCGCCAGAAATTTGGAATCAGCACCAAGCCGCTCTAACTGGTTCACACAAAACCAACAATGTAAGTGAGGGGTGGCACAATCGCTTCCAGCTTGTTATTGGAAAACATCATCCAGATCTTTACTCCGCTCTCGGTGAGATCCAAAAAGAACAAGCAGATGCTGAGATAATGATCGCGGAGCTGAGTTTAGGACGAAAAGTTAGAGCACTACCAAAAAGAAAATGGCGGGATTTTCAAAAGCGAATAATGTCCATTACTGCTGAATTTAATACATACCAGCCGTTACAATTTCTGAGGGCAATCGCACATAATATTGTTTTGTAATTTTGTTTTTAACGATAACAGCATTTATTATGTTATTATACTTTTTAGTTTTTTTTAAATAAATTTTATTTTTATATGCATTATAATTTGTCGATTTTAAAATATTTAATGATAACGCCACAGCATTTATTATGTTATTATACTTTTTTCGGGTAAAAGGTGTTCGGTAAAAAAGGTTTCGGGTTTTCGGATTTTCGGATAAAATACCATTCGGGAAAAAGTCCATTCGGGAATTTTGATTCGGGAAAAATACCGGTAACCGTATAATATTGTATGTGTTGGCAATAATAAGTTTGTTTAATGCCACAAGGGCACACCTTCAATTTGTGTACGATTTATTACTAGCATCGTAATTGGTTAAGGTACCTACTCCTCTTAACACACAGGTTATATTAGTCACCAATACCCGCCGCAAGTGTCGTACGGCCAGCTAACGATACTGTTTCAATAGCTCCATGACGGTGCGCAAACAACATTATTATCTTATTCTTCGACATCCCATACCCCCACTCTTAATAAATTTGTACAAAACGAAGATGTTAGTTCAAATAATACACCTTATAACAGTTTTGAAGACTTTAGTAGTTCTAACACAGATATTGATAATGACATACCTTGTAGTACTACTAGTGCAGATCCAGAAAAAATAATTGCTTGTTGAGCTATTCGACATAGTATAACACAGTCTGCTCTGAATGATTTAATAATTAGTAACTAAAATGCCATCTATTTTGTAATCTACCTAAAGATGCTCGTACATTATTAAACACACCAACAACTATATCATCAAAATCTATTAAAGGTGGTGAATACTGTCATTTTGGAATAAAAAATGAGATTGAATATTTATTGGCTTACTCATATCTAAAAATACATCCAGTCAGATGTGGCCAGTACTTGGGTACTTTTCAAATTTACATATAGAGAAACCAAAAGTTTTTATAATTGGTTCATATCACGGTGAAACTAAACCAGATGACTGTAACGAATACTTAAAGAACTTTATTGATGAATTGTGTGAACTAGTAAATGTTGGTTTTGTTTATAATAATGTACAAATTCATGTTATACTTGCTGCTATAATTTGCGACACACCTGCCAAATCCTTTATTTTAAATATTAAGGGTCATACTTGCAAACATTCATGTAAAGGGTGTCAAACAGTTGGCCTATGATCAAATGAGAACAAAAGTGTCTATTTTCCTCATGGATGATGACTTTGTATCCTATTCTGATCCAGAATTTCATTGTGGAGAAACTATTTTCACAAGGATACCTAAATTTGATATAATACGTTCAATTCCATTTGATTTTATGAATTGTTTATGCATTGGTGTGATGAAGAAAATATTAAGATTTTGGATAGGAGGAATCAAATGACACCGTCTAAATCTTCCAAGTAATTTACTATCCATACTTTATGAAAGATTAAACAAACTAGGCCAATATATTCCTTGTGAATTTCAACGATCACATAATGAAAACAGTAAAAAACACCCTATACGTGATTCTAACCGTTGGAAAACAACTGAATTGAGACAATCAGTTATGTACACTGGCATGGTGGTTTTTAAAGGAATTATTAGTAATGAAGTCTACAACCATTTTATGGAGTTTTGCATTGCAATGCGAATTCTGTCTATTAACAATATTACTGAGGAATTTAATCAGTATGCAAAATCTTTAATATTTCATTTTGTAAAAAAATTTGGGCATATTTATGGAAAAATGTTTATGTCCCATAATATACATGTTATTTTGCATTTGGCCGATGACGCAAAAAAATTTGGGTCTATTATTAACTTCTTTGCCTTTCCTTTTGAAAGTTATATGCAATCCATAAAATAAAAAATAAAAAATGGAGTTAAACCACTACAACAACTGCAAGGCCACATGCCGAGGATAAAATGTTACAAAGTGAACAGCCTGCACGTGATTCTAATATTTTGGACCTTTAAATAGTCGGCGTAAATTGAAAAATAGGCCACTTACTCTAGATGCTGATGCTAATAAACCGCAGTTCACTGGCTGGAAAATGAAACCGTTTATTTTAAAACTAAATAATTGTGACAATTGTGTAAAAATGAACAATAATGATATAGTTGTCATAAAAAACATTGCTACATCAAAATTAGATGATAATATTATAATAATTGAACGTATGACAAGCTTTCAGAATTTATTGATAAACCGTGTCCTTCTAGTTTATTGAATATACAAAAAGCAAGACAAATCGGTCATCTTCAGTCATCTAAAATAATTGATGTAAAAGAAAAAATGATGCGTTTTCCGATCAACGATAGTAGAGAATTTGTAATTTCGCCTTCGTTGCACTTGCAACAACTATATAAATACCTTTAAAAAC